TGCCCTGCTTTGGCCACGAAATATAAGATAATGTCTGCAATTCTAGACACCTAAGCTAAGCTTCGAGTCCTATGTTGTTTCGAGAATAATCCATAAGGTGGTGCCAAACAAAATTAAATGTTTTGTAAACTTTTTAATACTAGCTTTAGTTTGCCAGCGGCATAATCAGAAAGAAAAGTAGCCTATGTATAATTTCAGACTGTATTTTATATCTGTACCAATTTCATTACACTACAGTAAGTATGTATTTTTGGGAAATTATTAAGAGTTATGTTTCTTTTGTTATTGGATGCAACGGTTCTACGAGTCATTGGGAAGGCTACTACACATATAAATCTGTCTGTCTGTCTTCTGACTGACGTAACGTTGAAATCGATTAAAACTATAGAAATCATCTATAATGATTTGAATTTCTCACTACGGTAAAAGAGATATAAGGACATATATCTACATATACCTACTAAAAGCAACTAAAATAATATTTGGTATTGATGATAAACAAAGGTTATTAAATTCAAAAACTTTCTCCTAGAACACGATGTCATTCATAAAGATAACATAATAAGGTTGAAACTATCTCAAATAATCTATTTAAGAGCTGTTGTCAAGGAAATTTTCCAGTCAGTTAAAACCCTTGTAGTAACGTAAAGCTTTTTATAAACCATCCACAAACATGACGAAAATTGAACTACTGCCAAAACTACACGAAACATTGTTGCGTACTTTGTAATTATCGCACTTTAAGAAGAAATTTGGCGTATTCCTTTACATTCCCTTGACCTTGGAGTAATGTCTCGTAATTACGAGTAATTAGTCTACAAATATAATATGTAATGTCAAGGTATCGTGTGTCGTGAGGATAAATCCAACGGCTTCGGATCTTGGCTTTGGATCAAGATAAACAATCTTCGCAGCCCCGTCTAACCCACGCTCGCATGATGGAACTGCTCTTTCTGGAACATTAGCTAACTGATGTAATCATTTATTTATTCTTTACTTGTATACAAGAAGCACGTCAATTTAATGTAGGTTAAAAACAACTTGGCGGACTGTTTGCACGCGTATCGGTTGTTCCTTACTAGAACCTAGGTACCAGGCTGACAGAGGACAGAAGAGTGTGCTGTCATTTTCTCAGTCGATTGAAATGATATTTCGAAGTATTATCGCTGTCCTTTACTTTCATATTCTTTAATCATATTATATACATACCTCATCCATCCAGTCAAAATTAATTTATTATTAATATGTATTCTTTATCTAGGACTATTACTATTATACCCTTATGATAAGACGTGGCGTATACCACATTCTGTCTTCTAGTTCTATATGCTTTCACTTCTTACACAAGTATCTTAGTGATCTTGCTTCACAGCTATACAAAAACAAACCCTGACCTAACTTTTTAATTTTATCACAATCGTAGGACACTTAACCTACTCTTCAAGTTGGCTCCGACATTGCAAAGCCACAAACATAAAGCATAATATGGAGTTGTTATTACTAAAGACCATAATATATTTGCTGAAGATGAGTACAACAAATACGTTGTTTTATATAATTTTAAGAATGAATAGGTTGAATGACCTCCTTGTGTCTTTGAGCTAAAATAATATAAATCTAAATAGCTGGCTGGCGCATGGCGTAGCGTCGTGAATTTTATTGCGAACTGTGGACATTGGGAGATGGTATAGGTGCTTTGCGTATTTCATTGACGTTATGGTTTTGTGAACAATCTGGAAAATTCTACAGGGACAAACTGAACGAATTGGATAGATGGAATATCCAACATTCGTACACAGAAGTACTGAGTAGGTAAACAATACGTTTGAGTTAGATTCTAGATTCTTGACTCTAATATTCTGGAATTATGGGAGCAATTAAATAACTCTCTGCTAGGAGAGACGATGCATTAATAACTAAAAGTGGATGATAAATCGCATACTTACGTGAATCCAAAATTGCAACTCTACAAATATATACTTGAAACACTAGAAGATTTTGAACGTTATTTGATAGGGGAAAATTATCAAATAACTTTTCCCCCCTTGCACACACAAACCTGGCAGATTATGATACCTACCTACTGTTCAAATTAAACATTCAAATAACTGTCAGTGTCAACGTCCTCGTTGCCAACGATGATATAAGAGAAAGAAAACTTCTACACACAAAAAGAAAAACAAACGTCGTAGAAGAAATAATAAATTAACTAGACGACGACCAAGTGCTAAGAATTAATTTAAAAAACCACAAAACTCTGAACGTTTTATGTGTAAAGATAGTTGACGGTCTGGCAATGTTCTGGAAAGACATAGATTCGAGATTGATATTAATTAATAAGCTATTCAATCCAAAGCAACGTTACAGATTCCGTTCAGATATTCAGCAAGAATCTTTGATCTCATTTCGATTTAAAAATACTGTTTGTTATATTTTGCATTTGTCAATCCTATTAACCCAAATGGTGTGAACTCGGGTGCGTTCTAAAATGGCAACCAACAATGTTGATATTTAATGTTTTATAGCCTATAACCTTATTTGATAAATGTTCTATCCAAATCAAAAATTGTAGCTCTATTTTCAAACAAAATGTTTTCTATATCTAATACTAGCTACTCTCACGCGGTTTCACCCGCTGCTCGGCTCCTTTAATCGTATGGTAATGTGTTTTTTTTTTAATTTTGGCATTCCGACCAGCGGTTCAAAAGATTAGCTCTAAAATTTGTAAGTTTGTATGTCCTACATACGAACATACAAACTTACAAATTTTACCTCTTTATAATATTAGTGTAGACAAAAATACTTGTTTACCAAACCACGTCATAATCAACTAGATAATTATTGTTTAAAAGTTTAATAGTGACGGTTTTGTCCTCTGTTTACATAAATGAAAACTAAAATATACTTCTTTTAGTATTCTTTATTGCACTTTACCTAGTTGGTAACAATAGACTGTATGTTATTCCAGACTATAAATATCTATATGTATGTACTTGTTCTTGTTCTTACGATCAGATCTACGAATAAACTTTTGCGTTTATAACATTAGTAGAAAGTAACCTTAAAACTTTCAAGAAACGAGCATACTCCTTCTTAAAGGCCGGCAACGCGCCTGTGCTTCCTCTGGTGTTACAGGTGTCCATGGGCGGCGCCGATCACTTACCATCAGGTGATCCGTCTGCTTGTTTCTTATACCCACTTCTCTATCCTCATAATTTTGTTACCTGTCAACTGAGAATTTTGGCACAAGTGCACTAGTTATGATGAATTGCAATTGAGGTAATTATTCTCCTAAGTCATAAAGTTGTCGAAAAACTCGAGGTCTGCCAGTATTAAATTGTAACATTTGTTAAAATATAATATTACTTCAGAAATTATGTAAACATGCGTAGGCATTGCATATTGACTATATAACCAATCACCAATAGTATATAAATATTATATATAAAGTTTTATCTATACTTATATATATTATAATATCATAAAGCTGAAGAGTTTGTTTGATTGAACGCGCTAATGTCTGAAACTACTGATTCAAATTATGCTATTTTTTTTTGTTAGTCAATTTATCGCAGAAGGCTATAGATTATAAAACATTACGCTACGATCTTTAAAAACAGGGCAGCGAGTGAAAACACACGAGAAAAGCCAGTCCTATACATAAGTAACTATAATAAGTACGCTAACGACTTTTGCACTGAACTTCGTCGACATAAAAAAATAATTCGGTTCAGCGTCAGACATATAACAGAAACGGTAACAGTTACCGATAAACAAATAGTCATTTTCGCATTGCTTGTATTTCATTAGTATTTTTAATAGTTCTTCATTAGTAGCTTCATTAGTATACTGGTTTATTGTACTTAGACATTACGCCAGGGTGCTTTGCTAGGGCCTGCGGACGGCGAGTAAGGGTAGACGGGGCCCAGTAGCGCTGATGTTCAGCCGGGGTTGCGGGGTAAGCGCAATGAGGCACCGCGACCTCGGCCCAGAGCAGGAGAAGGAACGGGGGGGTTTTTAGTCAGTAAGAGTCTGACACTCCCTCCCGCCCGGCCCTGGGCGGGAGAAGTCATTGGATGATTTTCCCCTGACAAAAAAAAGGGTGCTTTACTAAGGCCGGGGTAACAGTCGCAAACGAAATAATGTTCCGTGCCTCCGGCTTGAAGCAGAAGGAAAGAATGGGTTGGTTTTTAGTCAGCAAGGGTCTGACACTCCCTCTCAATCCACTTAAGGGCTGGAGAAGTTACATATTGCTATCTCACCTTTAAAAAAGGTTCTTTATCAAAGAAAATTTATTAAAAAAAACGCAGCCCCCACTAGTGTTTTCTCCATTTGGTGGGTATTTCAACTACACTTTACACCCAGTACCCGGACAGGGCAAAACCATTTGTTGCCTATCACACAAACAATTGTTCCGCCAGGGAATCGAATCAACACGTTGCACATCTGCTTACTATGCAGTCGTATTAAACCGTGCTTCTAACTGACGGACACAATTTCTTCATCATTGATGTTTTATGATTTCATCACGCATTCATCAGGTGATATTTTTTGCAAAACATAGCTCAAGTTCGTTTCCTATTTTTCTTATAAAACATTGAGTAAATCAAATTCTGATTATCTTTCGACCCAAAAATGACTGTAAAGAAGAAAATAACGATCAAGAAACTATATTGAAATAATAATTTTGTTTATAAAAAATAATATAGTAAAATAATATATAGATCTGTATCCTAACTGTTTTATGTGCTAAAATTCACATAATGATAATATTCAAGAGCTAATCTTAATATCAACAACTTCGTGTTAAAACATAAAAAACATCTGTACTACTAGATTTCTTAAGCTCATAATCGTATTTTTGGCGTTCCTCCATCTTCCAAATGATCTTAGAGAAAACATCATAATAAAACAAAACACTACTTACAAACGATATTTATTAGATAAAGTTAAATATTTACAATTAAATATTTATAAAAAAATACTTAACGAAAATAGTATAGCGATGTTAGAAGTTATAATAGGTACCTACTATAAATAATAGTAATCAATTAAAAACTATCACACAATCTTTGACGTTGTTAAGCATTGCAGACATTTGCTTGGAAGAGAGCACAAATCAAAATTTTCGACCTTCATATGACATACATAAGAATACTGTTTTATTCCGAATAGTTCGGTTGGTCTCAAGCGTAGGAAAGTGGCGATGAGGTGGTGATTTACATATGACGGGTGTTGCCAAAGCCACCGTGTCCTGACTGCGAAGCTCCCTTGTTGTAACCCATTTGAAGGTTCAACTCGCTTTCGTGAGCACGGAGCTGCTCCTCAGTGAAGGTACGCTCGTTCTTCTCCGCCATCTTAGGTCCTAGCTGAGGTCCAGTCCATTCAGGGTGCTTCTGAGTCTAGAAAAGAAATTCAAGGAAAATTAGTAGATTGATTTCAACCATCAATCTGAAATATTAACGCAGTACGAAGGGACTACTTACGATTCTGCCCAAGGCGTATAAGCAGAGTGTGACTTGGGGAATGTTACGCCTCTCAAACAGGTCAGCGGTCTGGAAGATTTCTTCTTCTGGCACTCCGTATTTCTTAATGGCAGCTTGGAACCTGAAATCATTAGAATTAAATTTAAAATTAGTCAATGCACGACAATTCTCGAACGAATCTTTCGTTCTTAGAAAATATTACTTTTAAAAATGATTCCTAATTTTTGGCAGCTATTCGTTTGTTTTTTGTTTACATCTAGTTGAAGAGGAAATCGTTTTGTGATGATTTTACCTTTGAATGTTCTCCATGAGCTGGAAGTTGGTTCCCCTCTCCTGGATCTTCTTGACTGATCCAGGGGCCAGTTTGTTGATGAGCTTGCAGAGAACCACGCCATCCTTCAGGTAGTCTTCGTAGGCGGCGCTGGGGAGAGGCTCTCCAAGGACGGCGCTGATCCAGTTCAGCACCTCCTGTTCTTGTTCCTTGTTCCTAGGCTGCAAGATTACACGAATATTATTACTTTGAAGACATCACAATTAATTCGAGTAAATAGATATCTTGGAAAACAACAGAGGTAAATGCCAGTATAATGCAACAAAATTGCTTTGTAGTTACAAATAAAGCACATAAATTGTGTAAAAAATTGAAACTTGCAAGTTTCGAACGCTAGCCGTAAAACATTCGCTCCAGTGCCAAGTCGTTTGATGGCGGTCGAGCGGATTCCAGCATCACCTCCGAAAATAGCATCGTTTACGAAACAGATCTCTGTTATCCCATACTGAAGGGACGGGGTACATCTGGAAAGCTTTTAAGAGCAACCTAAAGGAGGTAACAGATGATAGGCAGGTCGCAGCTGCGCTGGCGCTCCTCATTAAACGAAAGTATTCCAACACTATTGACGTCATCAACGCACTGTAATAATATATGTACTTTTGTTAAAACAAACTTTTAGATGCTCTCTTTGTTTTGTTATTGAGTCAATAGTGTTTAGATTATGACTGAGCGAGTGTTGAAATGTTAAACTAACTGAACCGATTGTTATGATTGAGTCTAAAAAAATGATAAACGTTTTAAGATAGTTAATATAAAATAGATTAGAGAAAGTACTGTTTAAATACTGTCAAGAGTATAGGGAATTTAATTCGTGCTACGTAAAAAAAACACTAAAAAAAGAAAAATGTTAAACAGATAATTAGATAGTAATTACAAAGGATTTTGTTAGTAAGTGTAGTGGAGAGATAGTGTTGCCAAGTGATACGTACAGCCATGTTAATTTATGTCACAGAACTTTTTGGTTGCACTTGAATTTGTGGGCGAGCTTTCGGCTCGAACTCGACTGGTTGACTGTTAGCGTTGCAGTCCGCCCGCCCAAGCCGGCACCGTCGCGGGGGCGGGCGGTCGTTCCCTAACTCTTCAACTACGTACATTACATACGTAAATATAAAATGGCGTCACTCTTATTTACATCATTTACTGAGCAAACTGATGATAACTCGCTGACGATGTCTGTAGGCCCTTCTCATTCATGTGGCCATCCCACGGTTTTTAGTTACTCAGACATTATTTTTCGTAGTCTATTGTTTCGTTCTGTTGTGTAGTTTGTTTCAACGTATGTTCTAATGTAAACTATACAAAAAAAGATTATTTATTTCATTTATTTTTTTATAAGGAGATATATTGATAAGACTTTTTTATCTTAAATAACACTTTTGAAATTAGAACTATGTTAAATATAAATATGGGATATGAATTGAAATAAAAAGTTAGAAAAAAGAAGTTTGCATACGTAACTAAAATCATATACGAACTTTTTTCTGGAAAGTTTGGCTAAAAACAACATTAGAACTGAGTTATGCGATTCATCGCATTAATAAGAAATAGGACAACCGGACACAGTTTAACATGATATATCTAGAACCGCGGCTTATAATGTTATTAAGAAAATTTTATTAAAAAATGTTATAGTAAATCCTAACATATGAAATAAATAATAAGTATGTAGAAACGTAAAAAAAAATTATTATTAAAAAAACAAAATACCCGACTGCACACTAAAAAAAGAGTAAAACAAGCCCCACAATACAAATTTACTGAATATAATTTATAAATGTTGATGGAAAGCATCGCAGGCGGGGACCAACAGAGGCTTATTTATAGTCATTTCTGTTGTGCACCATTTAGCAGAATTTTCGTTGGTGGCGGTCAAGGTGGTCCCCGCCTGCGATGCTTTCCATCAACATTTATAAATTAAATTATATTCAGTAAATTTGTATTGTGGGGCTTGTTTTACTCTTTTTTTAGTGTGCAGTCGGGTATTTTGTTTTTTTAATAATAATTTTTTTATTTATAACTTTTTAGCTGTTTTTATTTTTTTATTAATAATTATTATTATATTATTAATTAATTATGAAGAATTTAAGAAAGAACCAAAAAAAAGAACGGAAGAACGAGTTAATTAAATAGAAAGAACGAATAAATTTAAAGAGAGAAACACGAAAGAAAAAGAACGAGTTATTTATACTTTATAAGTTTCGCGTCAGACGACGAAGTATCGAAAAAATCGCTATTTAGAGACGACCGTCAACGACGTGTGCCCTTATGCGTGTGCCCGCATTCGGGCTGTATACTCGAGCATATCCCCCTCCGCACCGCGCCGCGCGCCGCATGCCAGGCCACGCCCTATCTTTTTGCTTGCTAACCATCGATCACTAATAAAGAACTAGATACACAATCAGTGGCAAAAAAATGTCCCAACTGAAAGTCCACCAAACTCAACATCGCGGTGTAGTTTTAGTTTAGTACCACTCGAATGCTCCGACGGTAAACACGCCTCAGTGCTCGTTAAAAAACTGCAAAAACACACACATCTAAGATGCAAAAAAGGATGGAATTTCATATTTTCGTTTAGTCATAATATTATCATTATATAATTGTCATCATTCTATTTTAAATATTGATATTTTATTAAGAAATTAACTTTAAAACTTTTTCCAAATGAAATCGTATTCAAAAACCGGGGTTATAATGCACACAGTTTATAAAGACACTTATACTAAACGTAAAATCATTCTCTAGCATGACCACTTAAGTTGTTCGGTTTACGTGGATTGATTCTGTTCCGTTTAGCGGAGACGCTATTGTTCCTAATTTTATATATTGTTTTTTTTTATTAAAAAATAGTTTTTATTTAATATTATAATTCTTTACTGTGTTTATTAAAATATGGAATAGGCAGATATAATGGATTTAATTTTAACTGCAGTAAAGACATTTTTTTTAGCTTTCATCAAAATCCCGTGCGATATGAAAAATTTACAACAATAACGCCAACATTTTCAGTACTTACTTTAGATATATATTCTTTTTATTATTTTACATCTTTTTTATTTGACTTCGAATAGAAAGGATTAAGGAGGACGAAAATAAAAAAAAAGAATTATAACTATATGCATTAGTTTCATTGGTAAATAAATGAACAAACCTATAGAAAAGAATACTATAAGTAATGCGTTTTAATTTGCGTATTTTCTAAAGAAATATTATAAAGAAATATATTTCTTACGAGGCATTTCGACTCCAATCATTCTTTGTCCTAGCGGTGAGCCGAAGTCGTTAAATTTTATTGCTTATTTTTGACACTTTGTAAATTCGACTTAAAAACATGCGAATATGGTTCAATTTCTTATGATTTGTGTTTGTCAAGAGCTTCGGTCGCAAAAAGTATTAAGATTTTGTACATCACTTTGTAAAAACAACTCTATAAGTTGCATTTAAGGTTTAATTTACATTAATGCATTTTTATTTCAAGTATAAGTACCTAAATACAGTTGGCGACAGTTTTGAAGCGAACTTTTGTATGGGATTGTGTATCTAGTTCTTTATTAGTGATCGATGTTGCTAACGCATGAGTTGCTTTGCGTTGACGCAGAATTAACATGTTCCCGTGGGAATTTTGAGAAAAAACGTATCCTATATTAATTACTCCCGTGATTGAAATGAATCTAATGATACCGCATACATATTTTTTTAAAGGGAAATTTAGAAAAAATATTATTATGTCTTTATCCCGTGGGACTTTTAGGATAAAATGTATCCTATGACACTCCCGTAATCAAGACAAATCTAACGATACCTCATACATCAAAATCCATCAAGCCGTTTAGGCTACAGGAGGTCACAAAGGAACAGACATACATACATACTTACATACACTCGAAAAACATTACCCTCCTTCTTTGGCAGTCGGGTAAAAAGCTGTCCTCAAATTTGTTGCTAGCTAAAAATGCGGTTCAATTCAACGGATGTTTGCTGGTTCCATTTGCTATGCCAAAATAGCTTTTATATGTAGGGAAAGAAGAGTTTTGTCATAGGTAGAAAAAGTCAAAAAAAAAATTGATGTGATTTTTCGATCTAAGTAATATCTCGTTGTTTTGTATTAGTTGGGTTGAGGTTCTAAAAGGGTAACCATTATTAAAAAAAATACCATTTTTTTTTTCTTTATAACAATGTTACACGAGAATACTACACATTATTTATTTATTTAGACTTTTGCACATACATCTGCGTACAAGGTAGACTTAATGCCACAGGCATTCTCTGCCAGTCGAACCTTTGAGCGAACAGTAGGTGCAAGAAGCAAGCAAAATCGAGATGTTACTGATAAATATAATTTTATATACTTGTTACTTACATAAATACTATTAAAATAAATAAAAATATATATGGGAAATAAACTTACATATAATATTTACATAATCGTCAGTATAGTATTAAAAAAGAATTTCAAAGGACTTATCTTACTAAATAAATCTAAATTTCACGCTTGTACTAGATCGAACACGCAAAAATATTCCGCTCAATTCGAGAAACGAAATGTACATAGAAATAGACTTATTATAGCGACTAAGAAAACAAGTTCAAGACAATCTATGATTTATGGACTCTATAAAAAAAACTTTAGTCTATTGCTAAGGAGATAATGAATAATAAGTTCATAATATGTATTCAAGCATCGTATGTATCGACAAAGAGTCAACTGTTTATAGTTATTTATGTGTTGTTTTAACATTTATAAGTCTGAACTATCTATAGATATCTATTTAATCATGTGAAGCACGAGTATTACTTAAGATATAAATCTTTTATCATGAACACCATAAGAAATCGTAACTATCTATGCCTTATAGGTACTTCCGAACGTACCTACGGCACGTCGCGTTTCGAGTCTCGAAGGAAAAACGCCTCAAAAATCAAACCACCACATGGGGCCGATTAGGTATATTAAATAAGGAAAATCAATATACAAAAATGATAGTTGATGAAGTTTCCTTAAACTTTAATATTCTTAGAAATACTTAATTTAAAATATATGGGACGTGTTATACACAATAATATATCTAGGTACAAAAGTGACAAGTATGCATATAAATTATTTAATAGAATAACGTGAAGGAATAATTCTGAATAACGAAATAGTTATCGACTTCTTATCATCAAGACTTTTCATGTGTTTTTTCGAAAACCAAAACTGTACTATGTTTTTATCCTACCCTTGTCCCAAACTGCTTGGGGTCGGCCAGTCGACCTACCGAGTTTCTTTTCTCCCCCGTGAGAATCATACTTTTTGTAAGTCTTTCTCTTTCATATCCATCTTTACAAAATTTGTTTTTCTCCTACGATATTTCTTTTACCTGCATAGGTACAACTAATTTTATATAAACATTGCATATATCTCTAGCAAAATACAATTGTGGTTCTGTTTGTTGTCATTTTGATGTCACATGACTACTCAAAACTCTCGAAAGAAAAAGAAAATCTAACATTCTTTGGGATTTTGAACATTAAAAATCAACGAGTAGTGCCGTGTGGTACGATAGTATAAATAAAGAGCTTAGCTTCAAAACAGCTGTGTGATAAATAATGTAAGAGCTTACATATGTATTTAATACAGCACATAAATAGATCACTTTTAAACGCCTGACGTTATAAATTGGATGAAGTTATGCAAAAATGATCCAATTTATTATTTCAATGTAGGTAAGGATTATCGTGGAACATGCCAAACCTATTGAGGAATGATAGCCTACACTCATGAACGAACTGAGATAAGATGTACTCGTACTAGTTTCAAGCCATAACAGAACACTTATAAGTTAGAATCAGCGTGCGCGGCCTACTGACTCCGCGATTGGCGCGATGGCTAGGTGACTGACGATTACGGCTGACGATTCCCACACGGAACAATTCTTTGTGTGATCCACAACTTGTTGTTCCGGGTCTGAGTCTGATATGTATGTAAAATTGTATGTTTTTAAATGCCACACTTCAGTGAAGAAAATACAAGTGTAGGGAAAATT